ACTTTGCCCTATAGCATTGTTCTCAGAAGGCAGGGCTGCTTAATTAAAGTAGATCTAGTACTGCCTGGGAAGCAAAGCGAAGTAGAGGATGAGTCGCAACCTCATTTTTGCTTTCCCCTTCACATCCCCTTCACATAAGACCAGTATTATATTGGAATACGGGTTCACAGGGGCAAATATCTGGGCTCTTTCCATTTGCAGAAACACTGGCGTCAGCTTCCCTCTCGAGTTCCTTGTCCCATTGAATCTGGGTGAATAACAATAAAACCAACATAACTGCTTATATGACGCACAGTAAATAAGGGCTCATTCACAATGTGATGTAGTCCAGGGTTGTTCGAGGATTCTGGATTGTTTTGTTTTGTTTTTTGATGCAGATTTCAGCAGATCATCTTGGTATCTACACACTGTGAGGATTTTCGTTAATAGGATGTACTGGGTCCTCCCACCACCACCTGTCCACACACATCAGGAATTGCTTCTCGAGTTCTCACTTGTGTACAGACAGATATTCTCTTTTGCCTATCTTAATTCTATAACTAGAAAAAACTGGAAAGGGTTGCCATATGTTGGAACTGACTTGCCTGCAAGTACTTAATTATGTTGCCTATAATCTCTATCCCTGCCTACTTCATTCTCTCTTCCCTTCTCTCTTTTTTTTACCTGCCTTCTTGCCTTTCTCAAATCTTGTTTTTTGTTCAGAGCTTTCTAATTTTATTTTTAATTTTTGCACTATGATGCAAATGTGATCTCATTTAAAAAAACAGATCACAGAAACAGTTGATAACTCCTCTGCCCTCTTCTCCCACAACGTCATTCTCTCCCCCCTTCCTTATCCCCAAACCTTCAGATTTTCATCCCAGTGCTAAATTAAGTTTTTTAATTTTAGATTTCAGTTTTGTGCTAGGATACAAAATTGGCAACATTTAAAAATGTAAAAAAGCAAAACACAGGAATGGCTGATTATCTTTCTGCCCTCTTTCCATTAGCTTCAATATCTCATTCCTTCCCTCCTTGTTTTTACCTGCCCATCTTCATTTTTAGTTTTTGAACCATGGTGCAAAAGTGATAATATTGCAAAGAAATGCCCCCCAAAAAAGCAGAACGTAGGAGCAGCCCCTTCAAAAATACCTAAACAGCAAGACACGGAGGAGTAGAGACTAACCAGCAGAAAAATGCCCGTAAGGCAACTTTTTCAAATAACATTCAACCATGAATTGCACAGATCAGCACATATCATTATGGTATGGCAGTCCACATGGGCAGATCCTCCACTGGAACAAATCAGAGCAAAAATACACCACTACATGGCAAGGGTATTTGTCCAAAATTGACTGTTGACACTAGTTTCAGCTTTGTGTCACCTGGACATCAGGATGCTGTAGCAGCATCACAGGTGCAAGGAAACTGAACAAATGCTCAGTACAGAAAGGCTCCAAAGTGGAAATCCAGCTCTCGGTTTCCCTTTTATTTCTCCTTCCATCACATATTATCTATTTTAGCAAACAGCATCACAATATCCATCTTCATGGTGTGCTCTTTCCCTCCCCCTCCCCACTCCGATGTACATTGCTCATGTTTGGAGATCCTTACTATGGTTTCACACTCACCAGTTTTGGAGCTGAGACCTCAAAAAACCCTTCTTCTTCCTCAGGTCCCACCACCCATCTATTTTATGCACTCCAGTGTGGCAGAAGGTAACTTCCTGGATAGATTTTTTTTCCTGGCAAAAATGTACTTGTCCTCATTAAATTGAACAGGAAATAAATAACCAGATATGAGTGGATGTATGGTGGTTTGGGCCAGCAGATGCTGGGACTATTTGACACCAGAAGGCCAGTTTGCTCCAATACAATATTATAACATTTTAAAAGTGTACATTCCATTGCCTCACATCAGCCACCAACTTCGCTGGAAGAGACACCAATACAGGACAGAAGCAGGAATGCTTTGGTTGGAAAAAGGCAATGGAAAAAAAAAATCACCCACCGACTTGCATCATTGATGGTGGTGGCCATGACATCACCCAATCACACCTCCTATTTACTGGCAAAGACTGAACAAGATGTGATCCAAATATGCAGTTTCAAAGTGGATTCACATTATATGTATTTTCTTCCTCCTGCTTTGAAAACTGATAGCTAAATCACATGCAGTCATAGTATCTATAACTAATATTGACTAATGATAGCATGTATCATGTGGCTCTTGAAAACAATAGTGAAAGGGAAGCAGCGTAAAACCCTTGTGGGTTCCCTTCTAAATAAAAAAAATAGTGCTTTTCAGATGGCAGGCTAATATTTGATTTGATGTCACAATTTCCTTTGCTTATGCCTTTTTTGCCCTCATTGTATGGCAAATGTATCATTTTTATTTGATTAATACTGAAGAAAATTTGCTGGAATAAAAACTCATAGAAAATCTTGAGGTGTATTTACATGTGTGTATTTTACACATATAAAACAGAGAGGGAGAGATTGATCACGATGGCTGCCTGAATTTTGTGAGTTTTGTTGCACGTGTGCCCACATGGAGCCTCACCTTTGTCCTACAGTATCAGTTGGACAAGTAGGCCACACAAAGGATGTATCATTCCTTGCTAGTTCAAATGGCAAACTGGAAACCAGCTGGATCAGAGCAGGTTGAAAGCAGTTAAAACAGCACAAAATACCCACTACAGTACTTAGCATGTTTTTTTAAAATTTAGTTCTATCTTTTGTCTTTCACTTTAGCTGCAACTACACTACCAAATGGTGTAAGATTTGCTGCAGAAGTAGAACAGAATAATCTGAACTTTTAAAAACTGATCACATTACACAAAGGCTTATGCAAATCAGCCCAGCCCTTTCTGTTTCAGAGTTTTTCCTTTGTCTGCTGGGGGCTTCTAATTCTTTAAAGCTTGATGGTGTTTCCCTATGTACATCAGTTGTTTTGTACTCCAAAAGGAGAGGGAGCATGACTGTGGATGGTATTTAAGTGATGGAGTAAGCTGGCCTTATGTTTTGTAAAGTGGGAAAACCCACCCCTATGATCTCTCTCCCTGACTGTCCAAAAGTTTTTTTTAAAAATGAACTGCTGAGTTTAGTAACAGGGATGTGGTTGTGCTGCGGGTTAAACTGCAGAAGCCCCTGTGCTGCAAGGTCAGAAGACCAGCAGTCGTAAGATTGAATCCACGCAACGGAGTGAGCGCCCGTCACTTGTCCCAGCTCCTGCCAACCTAGCCGTTTGAAAGCATGTAAATGCGAGGCGATAAATAGGTACCACCACGGTAGGAAGGTAACGGTGTTCCATGTCTAGTCGCACTGGCCATGTCACCATGGAATGTCTACGGACAAACGCTGGCTCTATGAGGAATGTCTACGGATAAACGCTGGCTCTATGGTTTGGAGACGGGGATGAGCACTGCACCCAAGAGTCAGGCACGAGTCGACTAAATGTCAAGGGGAACCTTTACCTTTACTGAGTTTAGCATTAGAGCCTTCAATGACTGCACTGATGTTAGTTTATCACTAGATTACCTCTGCACAGATCAAAAAGATAAAGATTGATATGAAATAGAAACAGCTCCAATGAACTGCAGCAGACTACTGTTTCTGTAGTATAAGTGTATATGGCTGTACATTATTGGTTCTACCAGTCCCATTCCGCCTCCCCCTCAGTGAGCTTCCATGGCCCAGTGAGGATTTGAACCCTGTTCTCTACTGTCCTAGGCCATCACTTATCCATAACTCTATCTGCTACAGCACACTGCATTTCTTATGTTTCCGTACTGTTATCTGGGGGAGCCAGTAAAATTAACTGAGGTTTCATTATGTTTTAGAACACCGTAGGATCACCATTTCTAACCTAAAACCTTCAGATGCTGAAAAACGTGGATTATAGCAAACGCTATTGTAACAGTGAATGCTATACATATCAGGGTCCCTGGCTCCCTCCAGTGGCCAGTTCTGATTACTGTACTTCATTGTTAAATATACTGTATACTGTATGCATTTGGGATTTATATTTTAAGGTGAAGGATAAGTGAATCAGCGTGACCCCATACATAAGTCAGTCCACAAAGTCAGTCCTCACAAACCTGCAAGGTTGACCCCATACAAAGTCAGTCCTCACAAACCTGCAAGGTAGAGCCAATATTCATTCATTTTATTTAAAAGCCCTCTTTTCCCAGTAAGAGACCTCCAAGGCGTCTTACAAAATATTTAAAAGTCAAACACAATTTTTTTAAAAAAAAACCCTTAAGATTATAGTATTAAAAACCAATTAAACATCTTTTAACTACAACTGAGTAAAGCACTGAAAAGCATGTAAGTGCGTATTAAAAAAAGGATTTGAAAGGACTGCACTCCCATTAAATAGAACAATCATAATATTCTCATTTCCCTGAGAAGGAAAGAGAGAGGCTGTTCTCTGTGGCGACTCACACATTTTTTAAAAAGTGACGAGAAAATATAACAGGGGAAACGTCCTCGCTATCCCGCCCGCTCTCTCCGCAGGAAGCACCGTCCTAAACATTCCGTTGCGCAACTTTCGTAAGTGGGACGCTTACGCCAGGAAAGGACCGGAGCTACGTCTTTTGCGGCACCTCCGTCTAAAAGCCGAGAAAACGTAACTCGCCGTTAGGAGGCGGAGCCCGAAGGTGACGAGGACGGCCGCGATTGGTGCCCGTCGAAGTAAGATGGAGGCCTTTGGACTTTAGTCGGCTCGGGCCGAAAGTAAAAGGAAGTTGCAGGCGCCGCCGGCGGCCAGACGTGACGAGGCCGTGCCCTTGTCTGCGGCGGGCGGGCAGCATGGCTACCTCAGGCACGGCCGCTCTCCTCCGGGCCGCGGCGTC